GGCGGGACAGTTCTGAGCCCCAGTACTGGTGAACCATTAAGATTTTTACGTTCTCTCTGCGTGAATCAAACGAAAAATTCTTCTTCAGGAATCGTTCAACCTACATTTAACCCACTGACAACATACCAAAGAAGCCTCAGACGCACTGACAGCTCTTTGTTTGGTGCGGTGGTGAAGTGCGCGGACTCTAATCTGGGAGAACCGGGTTTGATTCCCCACTCCTCCACTTGCACCTGCTGGATGACCTTGGGCAAGCCGTAGTTCTGACAAGAGCTGTCCTTGAAAAAGAGCAGTTTCTGTCAGAGCTCTCTCAGCCCCGCCTCCCTCACAGGGTGCCTGTTGTGGGGAGGGGAAGGGAAAGGAGTTTGTGAGCCGCTCTGGGACTCCTTCGGGTAGTGCAGGGCGGGGTATAAATCCAATCTCTTCTTCTTGAGTGCACGGACTCTAATCTGGCAGAACCGGGTTTGATTCCCCACTCCTCCACTTGAACCTGGCTGGATGGCCTTGGGCAAGGCGTAGTTCTGATAAGAGCTGTTCTTGAAAAAGAGCAGTTTCTGTCAAGAGCTGTCGCAGCCCCACCGACCTCACAGGGTGTCTGTTGTGGGGAGGGGAAGGGAAAGGAGTTTGGAAGCCGCTCTGAGACACCTTTGGGTAGTGCAGGGCGCGGTATAAATCCAATCTCCTCCTCCTCTTCTTTTTATTAAAAACTCTCTTTTGTGACGCTACCACTTTCTCTCCAAATTCAGCCCCTTAATAAAACAGAAACAGGAATTGTCCCAGCACTCTGGCTCTGAACGGCACTCCTATCCTCAGAGAAGAAACTTAACAGGCAGAGCTATGTGGACTGACTAGCGAGTACACGTGGCTATGAATCTTATTTTTTCCATATCCTATATTTGTTTTTCGGGGCAGATTCATACCACTAGCCCATGTGGTTCAGCTTCTGGGAACAGATTGAAGTTCTCCTTTTATGATGGACTTTGGCCAGCTGCAAAATTACAGGCGTAACACGGACTGCTCTTTTTGCACACCGTACAAAAGGGTGAAGAATGGGTGCATGCAAGCAATGTCCCCCCCCCAATTTAAAATTGCCCTTTAAAATGTGAAAGCGAAGATTCTCAGAATGGTGAATTCTGAGCACAATACTTTATTTCGTTTGACTATATTTGCAGGTGCGTGAAGTGCTGTTTTCTTTGATCTGCAGAAACTCAGCATAACAGGCAGGGGCTGTAGCTTAGGGGCAGAGCCTCTGCTTGGCATGCAGAAAGCCCCAGGTTCAATCCCCGGCATCTCCAATTAAAGCACCTGGCAGTAGGTGATGTGAAAGACCACAACCTGAGACCCTGGAGAGCTGCTTCCAGTCTGAGTAGACAATACTGACTTTGATGGACCAAGGGTCTGATTCAGGTAAAGGTAAATGTTTCCCTTGCTCGAAAGCCAGTCGAATCTGACTCTAGGGTTGCGATGCTCATCTCTGTTTCCAAGCCGAAGAGCCAGCGCTGTCCAAAGATGTTTCCATGGTCATGTGGCCGGCATGACTAAACGCCGAGGCACCTGGAATGCTGTTCCCTTCCCACTGAAGCGGTACCTATTTATCTACTTGCAATTTCTTGGTTTTGAACTGCTAGGTTGGCAGGAGCTGGAACCAGAGACGGGAGCTCACTCCGTCATGCGGCACACTCGGGTCTCGAACTGCTGAACTACCGACCTTCCGGTCTGCAGCTCAGCGTCTTAACAACTTGAGCCACCACAGCTCCTCCTGATTCAGTATAAGGCAGCTTTAAGTGTTCAGACCTTGAGAACTTGTGTTTTAGAGTACAACAAATTGAGGTTTGGTGAGAAATCAGCATGGAAGGGAGGAAATAAATCCCGAAATTTCTCCCTGACGCATACTGTCCAGGGGTCATTTCCTGCAGGAGCTCACAGGAGCGGAGCGCCAGCAGTAAAGAGCCCAGGGGGCAGACACATGCAACAAGCCCCACCCCCTGCTCCCAGCAGCTCTCGGTCAGAGCAAGAAGCAGCCATGTAAGTTGGAGAGCTCCCCCCAGGCCCCCCAGTCCAAAACAGTCCAGTGGCACCTTTAAGACCAAGTTTTATTCAGGTACAAGCTCTCCCTCCTCTGCGAGGACAGATCTGCACGTTCCCCCCCCCCAGTAGCTAACAATCCAAAACAGTCCAGTGGAGCCTGAGCGGTGGGGGTTACCTTCTGCACTATGGGTGTTACCTTCTGACACACTTCTGGTGATGTCAGGGGGTGTGGCATATGCAAAAAAGTTATGCTAATGAGCTCCTGCACCTCTTTTTCTATGAAATGACCCCTGGTCTGATTCAGTGTAAGGCCGCTTCATGCGCTCACGTGCTCAGTCTGTTGCATTAGGTAGGAGCCCTCCAAAGCAGCCATTTTCTCCAGAGGAACTGATTGCTGTAGCTTATCAGTTGTAATCCGGGGGGATCTCCAGGTCCCACCAGGAGGTCGGCAGCCCTAAGGCTCAGTCCTTATTAAGCGAATGTTTCTCTCTTTTCTTTTTGGTTATTTGCAAAATGCAAGAAATAAAATAAATAGTCATATCTTTCTGCATACCAAGGGAATCCCCTGAGGATGCACAGACTCCCTATGGAGCAGAGGTCCATCAGTGGGTATTAGCTACAAGGTATAGATAGGGGCTCTGGGGTAAGGGATGCTCTGTCTTCTTGGTGCTTGGGGGGAGGTCAACAGTGGGAGGGCTTCTGGAGTTCTGGCCCCACTGGTGGACCTCCTGATGGCACCTGGTATTTCTGGCCACTGTGTGATACAGCGTGTTGGACTGGATGGGCCTTTGGCCTGATCCAACATTGGCGTCTCTTCATGTTCTTATGTTCTTATGTACCTTGTCTTTGAATGCTCTGATCTTGCTCCAGGCAGTTTACTGTTATCGTGGTGAGCCTACACTCTAGAGTCTAGTGCTTAGAAGAGGGACTCGATAAAGCTACCTAAGCCAGAAGTAAGAGGCTCTTACCGTGACAGGCTGGTGGGGGCCGTGGAATTATCTGTAAGGGAAATAGGGGGAAGAAAAGAAGATGAACACATGAACACAGGAAGCTGCCTTCCACTGAATCAGACCCTCGGTCCATCAAGGTCAGTATTGTCTACTCGGACTGGCAGCCGCTCTCCAGGATCTCAGGCAGAGGTCTTTCCCGTCACCTACTTTTTGGACTTTTTCACTGGAGATGCTGGGGATTGAACTTGGAACCTTCTGCGTGCCAGGCAGATGCTCAGCCACAGCCCTTCCCCAAAGCTCCAGGCATGAAGCTGCCTTCTACTGAATCAGACCCTTGGACTATCAAGGTCAGTATTGTCAGGCTGGCAGCAGCTCTCCAGGGTCTCAGGCTGAGGTCTTTCCCATCACCTACTGCCTGATCCTTTTAGCTGGAGATGCCGGGGATTGAACCTGGGACCTCCTGCATGCCGAGCAGATATTCTACCAATGAGCCACTGAGGTCTTTCCCATCACCTACTGCCTGGTCCTTTTAGCTGGAGATGCCGGGGATTGAACCTGGGACCTCCTGCATGCCGAGCAGAGGCTCTACCACTGAGCCACAGCCCCTCCTCTCCCTGCTGACCATTAGTTTTCTCTTAGCACTGTTAAGTAATGTTCAATGAGGGTTGCTATCCTCCAGGTGATGGCTGGAGATCTCCTGTGATTATAATTGGTTTCCTGGTGACCGAGATCAGTTCTCTTGGAGAAAAGGGCTGCTTTGGAAGTTGGATTCCGTGGCATCCAAGAAAACAGCCATTTTGAAAGGTGGGCTCTATGGCATTATATCTCCTGGGACCACACCCTCCTCAGACTCCACCTCCCCCCAAATATCCAGGTATTTCCCAACCCTACTTGCAAGTGGGAATACCCCAATGACCCTGTGTGGTATAGTGGTGAGGAAATTGGAGTAGGATGGGGGAAACCCCGGCTTGATTAATCCCACCTCTGCCGTGGGGGATAGGGCGGGATACAAACAGAATGAAATAAATTTTAAAAATGGAAGCTTGCTGGGCGACCTTGAGCCAATCACAGGCTCTCAGCCTAACCTACCTCACAGGATTGTTGTGAGGATCAAATGAAGGAAGGGAAAGAATGCTGTAAGCCCCTGTGGGTCCCCGGGGGGGGGGGAGAAGGGCCAGGATATAGATGAAGTAAATAAAAAGCTCATATCTTTAATAGACCAGAGTTTCGCTTTCACCAGAGTGGTAATCTTGCCCTGTAGCAATGGAGACTTCAGACGGTGACTTAGAAGACTGAATGCTCCTCCAAACGAAAACCCCTGAGTTCAGAAAGCCAGCGGGTGGCAAAGAAAGCCAGCGGGTAAGATACCATCTGAAGAAGCGGGCACACACACCAAAGTTTATACCCGAAAATCAGGGCTCTTTTTGTAGAAAAAGCCCAGCAGGAACTCATTAGCATAATAGGCCACACCCAACAGCAGAAACTCGTTAGCCTATTAGGCCACACCCCTGACATCACAGCTCATTGGCATATGAGGCCACACCCCCATGTTGCCACACCGGCCTTTTGCTTCTTATTCTGTTTACTTTGTTGTCAAAACCCTGGGGTTTTTTTGTAGCAGGAACTCCTTTGCATGTTAGGCCACACACCCCTAATGTAGCCAATCCTAATGAGTTTCTGCTGTTAGGTGTGGCCTATTATGCTAATGAATTTTTATTCTGTTTACTTTGTTGTCAAAACCCTGGGGTTTTTTTGTAGCAGGAACTCCTTTGCATGTTAGGCCACACACCCCTAATGTAGCCAATCCTAATGAGTTTCTGCTGTTAGGTGTGGCCTATTATGCTA